GGCCGGGGCCGGGCGCGGCGGAGCCATGCTGTCCAGGAAGGGGATCATCCCCGAGGAGTACGTGCTGACCCGCCTGGCCGAGGATGTGCCGGATCACGCCCGCTACCGCGCCCGGGAGCGGCGGGCCCGCTTCGTGGGCAAGAACGGCGCCTGCAACGTGGCCCACAAGAACATCCGCGAGCAGGGCCGCTTCCTGCAGGACGTCTTCACCACGCTGGTGGACCTCAAGTGGCCGCACACGCTGCTCATCTTCACCATGTCCTTCCTGTGCACCTGGCTGCTCTTCGGCATGGGCTGGTGGCTCATCGCCTTCGCCCACGGCGACCTGGACCACAGCACCCAGGTGGAGCGGGGCGGGGACCCTGGGGGCTTCGTGCCCTGCGTGACCAGCATCCAGTCCTTCACCTCCGCCTTCCTCTTCTCCATCGAGGTGCAGGTGACCATCGGGTTCGGCGGGCGCATGGTGACCGAGGAGTGCCCGGCCGCTATCCTGGTGCTGATCGTGCAGAACATCGTGGGCCTGGTCATCAACGCCATCATGCTGGGCTGCATCTTCATGAAGACGGCGCAGGCCCACCGCCGGGCCGAGACCCTCATCTTCAGCAAGCACGCCGTGATCGCCCTTCGGGAAGGCAAGCTCTGCTTCATGCTGCGGGTGGGCGACCTGCGCAAGAGCATGATCATCAGCGCCACCATTCGCATGCAGGTGGTGAAGAAGACCACCAGCTTGGAGGGCGAGGTGGTGCCCCTCCACCAGATCGACATCCAGATGGAGAACCCGGTGGGGGGCAACAGCATCTTCCTGGTGGCGCCACTCATCGTCTGCCATGTCATCGACCAGAACAGCCCCCTCTACGACATCTCCCCTCTCCACCTCAACCACCAGGAGGACCTGGAAGTCATCGTCATCTTGGAAGGGGTGGTGGAGACCACGGGCATCACCACCCAAGCCCGCACCTCTTACCTGGCCGACGAGATCCTCTGGGGCCAGAGGTTCGTGCCCGTTGTGGCCGAGGAAGATGGGCGATACTCTGTGGACTACTCCAAGTTTGGCAACACAGTGAAAGTGCCCACCCCTTCTTGCACGGCCCGGGAGCTGGAGGAAAACAGGAGCATCATAGACACCATGTTACAGTCGCCTAAAGGCACCATTAGGAAGCGAACTGTCAGGTTAAAGCCCAAATTTACCATCTCTGATGAGCCTTCCTGACACACGTGGTAGAGGAAACTCTGGTGGGGCTGTGTCCGAAACATGCAATAAGCACCAACTCTTGAGACTGCCTCTATTTTTTCTTATTCCGGTTGGTAGCACAAGGTATGTGTTGTGTTATTTATTGCAGGACAATTGTATTCTGTTATTATTTGTAAAGGTGTGAGAGATTTAAAGCAGCCTTGGAGGGGTGAAAATGTTCATCTGCTGTTTTAATTTAAAAATCCTGACTCTTGCATTTATTTGCATGATCATTTTTGGACTGAGTCATCTACATGGGAATCAGACCTTCCCTTGAAAAGTAACTTCATATGTGCCCTGGGAGGTTGCAATATTTAGGGCTTTGCAATGTCTGTCATCCAGTCAGTAGTTTTTAACTGCTTTTCTGAATAGAAACATTATCATGATGCAGAAAAAGCCTTTAACAGTTATTATTATTAACCTCAAGTCAGAACTTAAATAATAATAATAAAAAAGGTCAGGCAGTAATTTTTATGAGAAAGATAAGTCTGGTTATGAAGGTGCCTGTTTAAGTCATGGTACTTTGTCTTGCAGAAATAAAGTTACAGATTTAATTTAGACCATATTGTACTGTCTGGATCCATTGACTGCAAGTGCAGTAGGAGAGTCATTTGTATACGTATTTTTGTATCTTTTCAAACCCTTCTACAGTGCCTCAAAAGAGGATATGTTATCTCTATTTCTGATAGCGAGTGATGCAGCTATGGTTTCTAAAAGGGTTTGTCTTTACAAAGCAGAACAGATAGTAATTGATGTTATGTAACTGAAATTAATTATGGAAAAGAAAAATACCTTCATCGATTGCAAACAAACAAAAAGCCCAGCCACAACATGCTAGGGCACCTGTGAGAATTCATCCCCCAATGATTTCAATCAGATAACAAGGGAGTATAAATTTTATCAGAGACCTTACCTAGAAAGTGTTTTGCAATGAAAAAAGCAGTCAGGACTCATGGTAGAGATGATATGTTTTATTAGACCAACAAGATGTTTGCAAAAAACTGTCTTTACTTGCAGGCTTTCAGGCACAAACACCCTTCATCAGGCAGTTTGCAATTAAATAATTTTTTTTGCAAACATCTTGTTGGTCTAATAAAAGATATCTCTACCACGAGTTTTCTCTAGACCAATATGGCTACAACCGGGATACTTTTTACAGTGAAAGAGCAGATGCAAATTATATCAAATGGTATTTGGCTGCAATTAGCAAGACCTCTTAATTTTATTTTAGTTTAGTTTTAGTTTTAAGAATGATTCAAGAGCATTTTGTTCTGAGGCAAGGGCGGGATGTATAGGATAATGCAGCCTACTTCCGGGATGTCAGATCACAGCACATACCATTGTTGTGAAGACTGCACCCTTTTCATTTAAGGCCTGATCATGAATTAATTTTTGCACAACCTTGAATTCCACCTGCTCCCTTTGATTTTGATTGTGCTCCGAATGCAAGATCAGGCATACAATGGAAAAATACACACCGTTAATTCACTAAGTTTTCTTTTTTAGCAGTCCCTGTTAACCTGATCCAGCAAATCTTCCACCTGGAGAGTTCCCATTTAGAACAATGGCAGTTTTCTGTGTGGAGGGCTTGTACGACAGGGGCCTGATAACATCCTTATAACATATTCTTGATAAGCACTGCAGACTGCCATTGAAATCAAAGAAGATGTTGTCTGAATAAGGCATCAATAGAGATGGCAGACTGGTCTTGGTGACACAAAAGATGAGATGGTACTGTATCACCTCTGTGTGAGGTTGCATTGTTCTCTTCAACGAATGTCTGCATGGGAATTCCTTGCATCTTACAAAATTATCGCAATATTCTTTTGAAAACAGTTTGTCTTGTGGCCAGTTTTTACACAGCTTTTCAGTATAACAAAGCACAAATGCATGCAATAGTAAAGAAGAAAAAAAAAGGAAAAGAGTTGCATACTTACTAAATAAGAATTTGTGATAAAATGAAATAATTCCGATAATAAAAATCTCACTACATTAGAAACATTATTTTTATCATTAATAGCTATAAATCTCACAGGTAAGTAAGGCTTGCACTTATGCTATCCAGACAGCCAGCTAAACGAATACTTAGAAACATGTTAATATGTGTCCAAGTTTCCAAAGTCATAACTCAATGGGCGCATCTACACATGTGCTTTAATGCGTGGTAGACTATTTTACTGCATATTACAGATTAAAGCGTCGTATAAAAAACCATGACATTATGTTAATGTGCAGTAAAATAGTCTACTGTGCATTAAGCATCACTAAAAAAGCATGCAAATGCACTACTGCACATTAGCGCAGCCTAATGCTCATTAATTTAGTAGCTTACTTTGGAGGTACAAAATATAATGTGCATTAGAAAAGGCGCATTAATGTATGTGTAGACACGCCCACTATTAATATTATTTTGAAGTGCGCTTAAAGTGTGGTAGGTGTTTCACAGTGAGAAGACAAAACAGGCTTGAAAAATTGGAGTTCAACAGCATTAATATGTAATTTGCAAGGGAAAATTAAAAATTAAAATGTAAAGCTTGGTAAAGGGAAAAAAAGCTCTATTAGGAAATGGTAAAATTTGTTCTAATTATTAAAGTCTTTTTGTGAAATTCAGTTTAACTGCACCATCATTTTCCCACCCTCTCTATTACTGCATCTCTGTCAGTCTTCACTTGGAGATTATTTACGGTAGATCTGTTTCTCATGGGTATGCGTGAAAAGCATATGTGTATAACCCTTTGAAGTTTCTACATCCGCCTTACCAACTGTTGCTGTTCTGCTGTCATATCACTAAAAGATGCATAGATGAAATATCACACAGGGAAGTTTCAAATGACCTGAAGAGTCCCTGTATTATTTTCTGTCTATATAGTGCCTTATTTCGGTACATAAATACTTACAAATGTTTATTGACAGAAAATGCTTGGAGACTGTTGTTCTTCTAACATTTTTTTTAAGTTTTGACCTATGAGAAGCAATTTCAGGAAGACTACTAGCCAAATAAACCTTCTATTCAGAAACAGATTCAAACCTCTTGTTTCCTCAAGGAAGTTGGTACCACAGAAATAACCTGCATTTTCTTTGTACTCTGAAAAGACAGAAAGGTGGGGAGCTGAACTGCCTTAAGGACTTTCTTTTATGTCATCATTGCAGAAAGCACCTGAATAACCAGCAATGTGAGGGTGAGAGACAGCAAAGAAAAGGATCCCCAGGAATATAAAAAGAGAAGAATCTCACAATAAAGGTTTCCGTGGGCAATTAATTTAATCAAAACCTTTGCAAGTCTGTTATTGGGAATTCTTTTTTGTTTCTTTTTCATTTAAATTATTTTGTGCTTTAATAGTTTGAAACATATCACCGTATATCGGGGCATCATAAAGCAACAAAAGCAGAAAGTTTCAAAGTGACTGGGGACAGAAAACATTTGCAAAGACTGTTTTATTTTCTTGCCATCAAGTTGTTTACAAAATATTTGATAATACCCTAAATCCAGAATTGTCTGTGAATTTACACTTAACACTAAACAAGCAACTTTTCCTTGACAAGCTTTCCAGATAGCAGGTTAGTGCTATTATTCTTTATTTATTAAAAATCCTTTATTTCACCATGAGGCAAGATGATTTTTCTTCTATGGCAGTAGTCCAGCATGAGTGATGCATTTGAATTTTTTCTCCTAGGGTCCCTTTCAAATAAGCTATTCATGGGGGTAGCCCCAGGTGATAATCTGAAGGGACACATTTTTTACAGCGTTAGGAGAAGACTATGTTCTTAGTGCACTAAACTTGCCAATATTAGTAAGCTATGCCATCTGAATGACGAAAGGAAGTTACATGTTTTGCAAACATTTATATACATGAGCAACTCCTGCACACACAAGTAATCCTGTTTAACTCGTGATCTGACCTGTAAGCAGTATTTATGTAAAAAATCCCAATACCATGACTTGGCTGTTTACTTATTAGAGCAATGAAGGGATGGGAAAGATTCCAGTTAACAGATGGGCAATAAGAAAAAATTAAGTGAATCTGGTTAATAATAAACATGATTTGAAGGACAGCCAAGTCATCTGTCATAGTTTTGAAATATTTTTAGCCACTGTTAATTAGAATAATGGTCCCAACTAGGCCATCAGTTTGAACATTAAACTGATCAATTAAATTAAAGGACATTGTGCTTAAATAAAAGATAGCGATATAGGGACCAATTTGGTCCTTTTACCCCTGCTACAAAGCACAAATGGACAATTCATACGATATATTATTAGAAAATACAGTAAATGTCAATATGAGACATTACCTGTAAAAATATATTAAAAACAGGGATAAACACAGGAGCTACACGTTGGGAGTGGGGGAAAGGAGCAGCCATAACCTATTACATTTTAAAATGCTTCTTAAAGAGAAAAAGAAGGATGAAAAGGCATGGGTTAAGACAGATGCAAAGGGGGAGTGAACTCCGTGTGTTAGGAGCCCCTACAGCAAAGGCTTCATCAAGGTGAAATGACTGAATACCTAAAAGATGGATGGGATGGTTAAGAAATAAATAAAGCTGGGACTCATGAACAGTAATCAGCTGTATAAAATCAGCAAGACCAATTCAGAATCTGTCTGCCCTTTATAGAAGCCAACCCAGAGAATGCTGGCTGGGTGTAATATGATCAGAGTTACTCAATCCATCCAGTACGCATACTGCTGTGTGCTGCATGCAACACAAGTGACAGAGAGGTGTTCCTGGGAGGCCTGTTAGAAAGGAGTTAGAGGAACTGAGTCTTATGATTGGCTGTTTATTAATAGTCAATAATATATTGCTAATTAACAATTACAAATCTGACAGTTCAAGTTATTTTCTTTTGCTTTTCCCTCCTCTTTGTCCCCCTCTCGCGCTCCCCTTTCCCCCCTATTTACCAACTGACACATGTGCGCGCAGCCCTCAGTGAATTATTATACAACGGCTGGCAAAGCAGGCTTGATTTGTAAAAAAAGCAGAGAGTGTGTTTACAAAAAAAAAGCAACTTAAGTTGCACAGAGTTCAGAAACGTGATCACACTTGTCAGATGTTCTACCTTTCAGCTGTCACATATAATAAAAGTGGTCTGATAATATCAGTGGGACAAGAATAAGGGCGCTGACTGCCTTGTACTGTCCCTTTTGCAATCCATGGTGGGAAAAAGCGTGGTGCAGCTGTTGGGTATACTTGAAGTGGGATAGGAATTCTGATTCTGTTCCCATTTCTGTTGCTAACTCACTTGGTTCCAGTCTCCATGGATTTATGTACATGGCACGGTGCCGTGCAGTGCAATACTGGAGATACCAAAGCAAGTTCCTGAACCAGAGGCAGCATAGCCCCAGCACTGTGGCGTTCCTTCTGTCCTAATTAGACAAGGCTCTAAGGGTTCTGGGATCTGATCCAATATCTTTGCACTGCACTGCAGTTTGCTATGTCAATACACTGGCTTGTTCAGCATTAGCACTTTTACTTCTTTTACCTCTTACAGCACATTTACCCCTTTGATGTGTTTCATTCCTATGTAGGCACTGTCTCTTAGGGCATTTATACATGTGCTCGGGGGGGGGCGCTTTAATTAGAGAGCCACTCCAATGAAAGCACCCAGAGTGTCACATGCATCAGGATCCCCACACTGAAAATGGCGACAGGGGCACTTTAACTAAAGCTTTAGATATAGTGCCCCCACCACCATTTTTCAGCACAGGGAGGCTGATACTGAAGTCTGCTAGAGCACAGTAATTATCACGCTCCAACAGGCTCACTTAATTGAGTCTGCTCCAACACTGTAATTACACTGCGGCAGAGAAGCTTCACTGCACACGTATAGGCGCCCCATGTCACTGTTTCCCATCTGTAACACAGAGGTAACAGCACAGAGGTGTTAGGAAGATAACCACATGACTGAAGCATTCATATACTATGAAAATGGAGGCATAGGGTCAGGATGTTTCTGAAGAAGGGCATGCCTGGGTACCATTTGCGAGTGCTGTTTTGAAAATCTGTCAGAGTTGGAATACCTTGTAGAGGAATCAGTTGCATTAGCAGATGTCTGACTCCATCAAATCTGGATCTCTAGCAATGAAAACTGAACTGATACCAGGCCCCAAGCGACCGCTGTTCAGGTGAAGGGCCATCATTCCCCTATGGTGCTCCCTCATGCAAGGGATCTTCCCTTGGCAGCCAACACAATGGGGTTGGGAGCAACCAAACTAAGATCTTGTTTTATTGCCAACTAGGTAGAAGTTTCTTCCTTTTTTCATGTCCTTATGATCAGGTATTTAGCAGATTTGTTGGAATCTGACAGGCCACGCTGTGAGCACTTCTGCTGTGACCTCAAATTTGCAACTTCTGGGCTGCTAACCATGCGCCTTAACACCCACACCACCCCCGCCTATTAGGTAGAAGTTGGAAGTGAGTGATGACAGCCACAGGAGCTTCATGGGGATTCATAGGGAAATAACAGGCACTTCATGAGAATAACCCACAGAAAAATTAAAAGAATGGCATTTCTCTCTCTCCCTGGTACCTCTAAAGTTATATTTATACTTACTCCAAATTGCAAAACTAGGTGCTCTGTGCATTTTGGACTCACATTCTGACCTGTATTCAATCATATCCAATTGCTCCCTTTGGAAAGGAAAACATGTCATGCCCATAATATATAAAAGCACAACAGGTCTGATCTAAATCCCAGTGGAGTTGGTAGAAAGACTTCTATCAACTTCAGTGGGCTCCAGATTGGCCCAAGATTGCCCCAGTTCTCTAACCTCAGTCAGATATAGATTTATTTTGAAGGCAGTGGTGAAAGGGTTTTTAATCTAAAGGGCTCGGTTCTCCAGTACATAACTCAAGTGAAGCTCCCACTAAGATCAATGGGAACTTTGTTTGAGGAGTAAAGACTGAGAAGGCATTTCATTACTGGGTCCAGTGACATTATGAGAAGCACATTCAAGATGTCTGTTGGATGTTTCATTGACTGTCTGTAGCAAATGATGCTTTGTACTATTTTTGATGTCACTGCTGGAGAAAGATACGTGATACAAACCTACACACTCTTGACCAAGCAGTACTATTAAAAGCACAGAAGACATTCTCAAGAGTATTTAAATATCACTGTCCACCTCAGGCTGTTAACAATATTGAATGCTAATAATGAATTTCATTATGAATACTGCTCTGTTTCACACTGATATGTTGATACCACCCACAGGACAACACTAAATCTTGTGGAAGTCATTGCATGTTGTTCTGCAATGTCCAACTTTACTTAGAGGAATGTCTCAAGGGACAAGCATTTCCAGTCTTTCTTTATCTCCTGTTTATGTCTGACACCTATTAATACTACGTTTGATGCAGGGAGCTGGGGGGTGGAGTTTCAGCTGTGTCTGTGGCACTGATCACATCTCCCACACACATTTTTTCAAAATCCTAGATTCATCTATGGGAGCTGATCTGAGCTCTGCTTGGGTTGTGGGGGAAAAGAGAAGCTTGGCAGTCCTGGC